TCCTGACCTCTTGTTTCTCACAGCCATCAGAAAAGAGCAATGCCATGGTAAGTAACTTGGCGCTGAGGCAGGAAGACTGCCTCGGCCAGTTAGCTCAGCGGAAAGAAGACAGTGGGCTCCTTTGGATCGGATGTGAAGTCAACATTGAATGAATCTGAAGGTATTCATTCAATGCATCTTTGTGATGTACCATCAGATGCTTAGGGGCTGAGATCTGAAAATAAATTCATCCTTATCTCTGCCCCTGAAGGGCTTCTAAGTCCAAAACCTGGGTTAGCGGTTTTCCAAAGTTAGGCCAAATTATTTAAATGCTCAAACAGAAATATCTATCAGCCCGTTGAGAGAAAGGCTCGTTTTGTCACCCAAGGTTAAGAAGAGCCAATAGTTAAAGGCGGAGGTAGGTTGTTTTATGGGTTGTAGCCCATCCTCATGAAAGGCCATCAAGTACCTGGTGGATGGAAATAAGTGTTGTTAGCCCATTCCAGATGTTTCAGGATCGTTAAAATAGTACCCCAGAGTCTCCCTGGCTGACCATCCAAGCACAGGCCCACAGTGAGAGGACCCACGGGAACAACATGGACGCCCTCCATCTATGTAGTCAGAGGCCAGCCATGGCAGCCAGGGAGGGAGAGCTGGCACCCATTGCCTCCCTAAAATCCCTCTCATCACTGCAAAGGTGAAAACGCAAGGGCTTTCAGGGTCCAGGCAGGTAGTGCTGGGGTGTGAGACCAGAGAAACTGGTGGGACCGTGTGCATTTTAAAGCCATTCAGATTCAAAACCAAAGCCAACAATACACCCTTCATTCCTTTCTCAGCCACAGTCTGCGCAGTTGGACTTGAGAATCTGCTCTCCAATATCACCACTTACTTTATGACTCCGACTCCTTGTCAGTTACATGAGGATAATTTAAGGAAGTGCACATATTACCAGATGGTTGTGATACTTTAACTCTCCCGTATCTATGAAAGTGTTTTTAAACTGTAAATCATTACAAAAACACAAGCAACTGAACCACCATCAAGTCTTCCTTATCTCTGAATGTTTAATTTATGTTCCGTCTCTCTTAGAACTCAGGGACACACATTCCAGTCTCTTTTCCAGAATCCCACTGATAATTTTTGTTGGGAAATGCACTCTTTTCCTGCTGCCCTAACTTGTTGAGAGTGTGGCTTATGTGAATGTTAAACTGCCGCCCTGCAGCAAATCAAAGCAACAAATATTTACTCGCTGCTGAGCTTGGCCTTGTACGAGATACAAAAGAACAGGAGATTCACTCTCTGTGTGAATTTCATGGAGCAAATTGCCCAGCTGCACCACAGCACCCATATATTCTAGAAGAGAAAAAAACTGTCTGTGCTCTCTGGATGCCCCAATACACCTGGGGTTTTACTTCAAATACAAGAAGCAGCTGGTCTTCGTGATTTAAGACTCAGTGCAAATAATAGAATTTATTTCCAAGCTGCCTGATTTGGCAGAATTCCAGAAAGCTACGGCTGCTGATGATGATAAAAATGATTCTACATGGTTGGTCTTTCTATAATAACACAAAAGAAGTTCAACCTGTACAGGACATTCCAAAGCTAGAACATACTCTCAACTTTACCCCAAATAGATTTACAGCAGGGCCTACCTAGCAACCTGGGAAAAATAGAGGTGATCCCCAAATTCCTGGCATAGTGGTGTTTGGTCTCAGGCTGGACCTGGGAAGATTTCAGGCATCGGTGGTGGTGGTGATGGTGTTAGCTGCCATCAAGCTGGGCCCCGACTCATGGTAACCCCAGGCACAACAGAATGACATGCTGCCCAGCCCTGCACACCATCCCCAGGATCGGTTGCAGATGGTACTTCCCATTAATCCAGGGCATCAATATCTATTCAACACTGAAAGCCCCCAGAGAAAGAACCCAATATTTCAAATACTAAATAATGTGAATACTAGGGATTTTTATACTATTAAATATGACTAAATACTACTTAAAAGGACAACATCCAAGTAGTGCTTTTCTGGGAACTGTTAAGATTTTTGTCATTAAGTCTGATTAAAAGTCTAAAGCAAATAAGGCTCACACTTGGGGAAAATGCCAACGACCTGATTCATAAATAAATTTCTATTCCTCAGTGAGAATAATAATTCTAGCTAACACATACTCTTCTGTAAAAATGAGTTTTATCCTAATTTGATGTCTTTCTTAAAAGTATGTATATGTATTTTTTCTGTTGTTTGGAACTTTATAGAAAGGATATCATATTAAATTTTATTTTGATTGTTCTATAATGTTTTAGTGGCATCCCTGGATGATGTAACTGGTTAACGTGCTCGTTGCTAACCAGAAGGTTGGAGGCTCGAGTCCACCCAGAGGCACCTCAGAAGAAAGGCCTGGTGATCTACTTCCAAAAAATCAGCCATTGAAAACCCTTCAGAGCACAGTTCTACTCTGACACACATGGGGTTGCCATGAGTTAGAACCGACTCAACGGCAACTGTTGTTTATTTTTGTTTTTTTAATAATTTTTAAAAAATATACCATACTTTATTCACCTACCCTCCCACTGATGAACTTGTGAGTTGTTTTAGGTTTTAGCTGTTATGAACAGTTCTGCTGGGAGCATTCTTATACATGTCTCCTGTTGTATATGTGCAAGAGTCTCTTGGGTATATGACTGGGGTGGAAGAGCTGAGTCATAAGCCGTGAACTTCAGAAGATGATGCCAAATTCTTTTCCAAAATGGTTTCACTAATTCACACTCACACTAGTAACACATTTAAGAGGTCCCATCATCCACCTCTTCTCCAGTTGTTTAATTTTTGTAAATCAGATGAGAATAAAACAGCATCTCACTGCAGCCTTGATTTGTCCTCCCTGGACCACCGATCATCTCTTAATCTGTTTATCAGGTATGCTTGTTTCCACTTACGTGAAGAGCTAGCTCGTGTCTTTTGTCCATTTTTCTACTGGCTTGTTTGTGCTTTTCTTGTTGATTTGTAGGAATTCTTTATATACCCTTTATCTGTCACATATACGGCAAATATGGTGATATCTTCTCCCAGTGTATAACTTGTTTTCTTGCCTTCCTCATGGGGTCTTTTATTGAACAAAAGTTCTTCATTTTATTATAGCCATGGGTACCCTTTCTTTTAATGGCTTTTTTATGTCTTGTTTAAGAAATCTTTTCCTTAAGGAATTTAAAAGGCAAGCTCAATCTGAGGGGATGACAAATAGAGCTGGGTTGAGTCACAGAGGCCAGCATTGCCATGCCTCCCGAGGCCTTGTCTGGTCCCGGGCAGCCCTGATTGCCCAGCACAAGGGACGGCCAGCTGCTGGCAGGTGTGTACTGGTTGTGGAACTGGGTACCTCATGCTATTAGAGCTGGGAGCCATTAAAAATTCTAATCATAGACTGTAATTAACTTTCCTTGCTCTGCCGCCCCGCTCACTAAGCAACCTTTTGATTATAATTTGGCTTCCCATGTATCTGCCTACAGGGAGAGAATGTACTGTTCAGGTCGACGTGAGGCTCCAATCCTCTGAACAGTTACATGCCACGGTGTAAATTAATAAATTTGTATTCTGATTTTATCATCTGTCGTCTGAGCTCCGTAGGCGTGAGTCAGCATCCCTGAGTCTAATCAACACGGACACTGAGAATATCAGGCTTGTGAGCTGAGACACTAAGAGCTGGACCTAGGATCAGAGTGAAATCACCAGGGTAACACAGCCCGAGAGGCCCCCTGGCCCCAAGGAGCAGGCCTTCCCACCTGCCATGTGATAGGGACAGGGATTAGCAGTGACTTCTGACATTACAAAGAGCTGCAAATTCAAAAGCATGGCTCAGTTCTGCTCAGGTGAAGGTAGAGAACAGGAGATGATCATGACATTCATATTGAATATTATTTATTGGCTTCAGAGCACACACCAGATGCTGCACCAATTCTACGCAGAAGGATATGATCCCTAGTCAGGTGAAGAAAAACAAAAACAACCCAAAAGGTCAACAATGAGTGCAGAGGAGAAATGGAATAAGAGGAATCTGCTGGTGAATTCCTGCTCCACCTAGGTGCTCATGGTTCAGGATACAAAATAAAAGAAGGTGACTTTAAAGACCAAAAAAAACAAGAGAAAGAAACCCCGAGAACGCCAGAGCGTGGACAGGAATGTGGCCAGACTTGACACTCTCCAGCCAGCGGAGTGATTTAGGGCCTATAGGGCAAGGGCAAGCTCTTTGAAGTGAGTTCAAACGGCAAAGGGGAGATGAGCCCTTTAGGGCCAGCAGGGGTAATTTAGCATCCTGCCACTTAGATCACCACTTCAAGCTGGGTTTCTGGGTGACCAGAACCTAGAACGACACAGATCCCAGTTATATCAAACAATGAAGGGAAGGAAGTGATAAGAACTATAACTAACCCATTGCCATTGAGTCAGTTCCGACTCACAGCAACCCTATAGGACAGAGTAGAGCTGCCCCATAGGGTTTCCATGGCAGACTACCACATCTTTTTGCCATGGAGCGGCTGCTGTGTTCCAACCGCAGACCTTTTGGTTAGCAGCCGAGCACTTAACCGCTGTGCCACCAGGGCTCCTGATAAGAACTATAGGATCTGGGAACTCTTGGCCCAGTGATGGAAGGCGACCCTCTAGTTTGTATTCAGGCCCCCCTTCCCCCTGCAAAAAAGAAGGTCAATACTGATGACTGTAAAGGATTTGTTGCTTAAAGAAAAATATGTTCAAGGAGAGAGCTAAATTCAAGGAAGCTCTGCATCATCTTTGAGACTTTGATCTGAAAGGCAAGCGTTGTGTCCTTCAGGGCCTCCCTTGGGCCCCATTAGACCAAGGTCACAGGTTTGGATGTATGTGGAGGAGGCTAAAGAACCATCTCAGAAGTTCTTTGTTCTAAAAATGAGGTAGGGGTGTACCACCCAATAAAGGATGACCCAAAGTGTGGCCTGCTCAAGCAGCCGTGTGGAAGAAGAGACATACAAAAGGCTCAGCCAAACAGCAGGATTAACATACAGTAGGGAGGCAGAGCACTCTTCATAGGGGCATTGGCAGAATGCACCAGCTCCAGGGAGGGGGGCTGCAGAGGGGCTGCCATGTTCTTGACAAAGCCCGAGGGCCCTGAGTCTCAAGCGAAGGAATGAGCCCCTTTAACTGAGGCTGCTGCATGTGTGCACCTGTGGGTTATAATTAAATGTAAGTGAGTGGGAGTCCTGGTCTAGTAGAGGTGGTGCCGCACGTGCTCCATGATGATCTTCAAACTCAGCCAGGTCTCCTCCGCAGTGGAGATGATTTGGTTGGCTGGCAGCAGGAAGCCATAACGCCCAGTATCTCTCAACTCAAACGTGAAGGCATACTTGATGCCATTATCATATGCCCAGTCGATGCTGCTCCCGCTAACTGGGTCTGGAAGTTAGAAGAGAAAACACCTTTGAAGTCTGGCTCCCTTCAGGGTTAGGTGGGGAGGGGCCAGAATTTCTGCCTGCTGGAGGTTCCTTAGGGATCCAAAGTCTTTGCTATAAGTCATCAAGCCTGTAACACGTAAACTTGAGCCTGATCCACAGTCTCAGTCTGTCCTGCACAGGGAGGTCTTCACCAGTCTCCAAACAAGATATTTTAAATCCTCATTCCCACCTTGTCAGTAACTCACTGTACAGACTCCTGCAGGTCACTGAAAACCAATCTTTACAGAGTCGGGAGTGTGATAGGCTGCTTCCAAGATGGCCCCAGTGATCTCTGTCTCCCGGTATTACGCCATGGTGCAGTCCTCTCCTATACTGAGTATGGCTGACTTAACCTGTGTAACTAACAGGATGTTGCAGAAATGAAGGCGTGTGACTTCCAAGGCTAGGTCATAAAAGATACTGCCGCTTTCGCCCTGCTCTCTCTTGGATCATTCACCCTGGGGGAAGCCAGGTGTCACATCGTAAGGCCACTCAAGCAGTCCTATGAAGAGCACATGTGGTGAAGAACTGAGGCCTCCTGCCAATAACCAGCACTGACACATCAGGCACCTGAATGAGCCACTTTGGAAGCAGAGCCTCCAGCCCCAGTCAAGCCTTTGGATGACTGATGACTGCAGCCCTGGCAGACATCATGACTAAAATTTTGTGAGAGGCCCAGAGCCAGAGCCACCAGCTAAGCTGCTCCTGGATTCCTGACCCACAGAAACAATGTGAGCAAATTAATGTTTGCTGTTTAAACCACTAAGCTTTGGGGTAATTTTTAATGTAGCAATAGATAACTGATACACGGAGAAAAGGAAGCACAGCCCTTGGGACCTCCTTTTGCCAAAAGCCTTGGGGAAGGCAAGAGGCCAGTTTTTCTGCTTCTACCCAGTCAAACTCTGTCGTTGTTGTTGTTAGGTGCCGTGGAGTCAATTTCAACTCATAGCAACCCCATGTGACAGAGTAGAACTGCCCCACAGGGTTTTCTTGCCTGTCATCTTTATGAAGCCCTGGTGGCACAGTGGTTAGGAGCTTGGCTACTAACTAAAAGGTCAGCAGTTCAAATCCACCAGCCACTCCTTGGAAACCCCATGGGGCAGTTCTACTCTGTCATCTTCATGGAAGCAGATCGCCAGGTCTTTCTCCTGAACAGCCTCTTAGTGGGTTCAAACTGCCAACCTTTCAGTTAGCAGCTGTGTGCTTAACCATTGGGCAACCAGGGCTTCAGTCAGACTCTATTAGAGATTGGCTAAAACTGCAAAATGTAGATGACAATAAATAATAAAATAATGATGCCAGTACCCATAAAACCCACTGCCGTCAAGTCGATTCCGATTCAGAGCAACCCTATAGGACAGAGTAGAACTGCCCCCTAGGGTTTCCAAGGAGCGGCTGGTGGATTTGAACAGCTGACCTCTTGGTTAGCAGTCGAATGCTTAACCACTGCACCGCCAAGTCTCCATGATGCCAACAGCAGCTGTCATTCATTGAACATCTACCACGGGTAAGTCATTATACTAGAAACTTTGCATTTATGATCTCATTTAATCTTTAAAAACCCAATGAGGTAGGTATTATTGTCCTTGTTAAATGGGTAAGGAAGTCCAGGCTCAGAATGGGTAATTTACCTAAGAAAACAGAGATGGTAAGTGACAGAGCTGGAATTTAAACCCAGGCCCATCTGATGACAAAGCCCATGCTTCCTTCAGCCTACTCTAGGCCATTTGGTATGTTACATTTCTGTTAAATGAAAATATGGGTCCCTTTGCTTAGCCCTGGTGGCGCACTGGTTAAGCGCTGGGCTGCTAATAAAAAGGTCAGCGACTCAAACTCACCAGCTGCTCTGCAGGAGAAAGATGTAGCAGTCTGCTTCCGTAAAGATTACAGTCTTAGAAACCCTATGGGGCAGTTCTACTCTGTCCTATAGGGTTTCTAGGAGTTAGAATTGACTAGACTGAAGTGGGTTTGCTTTTCCATTGTTCCTAAAGGTCGTTTCTCATGAAACCACTGTGGGTTTTCTAGAAATGTCACTTCCTCTGAGGTTATGCGCTCCCTGAGGGTACTGAACAGGCTCTCCTGTACTCTCTGCAATCCCTGTGTGACTCTTAGGCCCATAGCCTTTCTCTACTCTGAGAAAATGCCAAATAAGCAACAGATAATGGCACAGGAAGTTTCTAGGGTTTATTTCCATAGCAAGCTCAGTTATTTCAGAATATACCTAAGATTCAGGCAGGAGGCAAAAAGACCTCTGCTGAGCAGTCAAAGCGGTAGAGTTCATAAACTTCACTCTACTTGAGCCCCTGCTCAAAGCCTACCTATTCTTTCTTTGAACACAAGCAGGAATATACTATAAACACTGTTCTGCAGTCTGCATTTTTCAATTAACACCTAAAGGTTATTCGCTATTAGCACAGAATGTTCCACTTGTATGAATGCAGCAAATCTATTACTGAGTACTCTACTGATGGGCATTTATATGCTTACCAGCCTTTTGCTACTCTAAACAATGCTGCCACAAACATCCTTAATATTCACGATTGAGACTAATGGACCACAAGTACTACAGCCTCCACCAGATTGAGTCCAGTACAACTACATGGTGCCCAGCTACCACCACTGACTACTCTGACAGGGATCACAATAGAAGGTCCTGGACAGAGGTGGAGAAAACTGTAGAACAAAATTCTAACTCACAAAAAAAAAGACCAGACTTACTGGTCTGACAGAGAACGGAGAAACCCCGAGAGTATGGCCCTCGGACACCCTTTTAACTCAGTACCGACGTCACTCCTGAGGTTCACCCTTCAGCCAAAGATCAGACAGGCCCATAAAACAAAATGAGACTCCATGGGCACACCAGCCCAGGGGCAAGGACGAGAAGACAAGAGGGGACAGGAAAGCTGGTAATGGGGAACCCAAAGTCAAGAAGGGGAAAATGTGGACATGTCATGGGGTTGGCAAAAATGTCACAAAACAATATGTGTACTAATTGTTTAATGAGAAACTAACCTGCTCTGTAAACTTCCATCTAAAGTACAAATTCAAAAAAAAAAAAGGAAAAAAAATATCCATGATCTATCCACTAGTCAAACAAACCCAAAGAACTTGTTTCCAAGGCCTTCGTAGATCAGAATCAGTGAAGAGGTGGGGAAAGGGTTGCTAGAGGTAGCTGGCCTGAAAGCAGTTCGAGCCTGACAGGAGGAAGGAGACATAAAAAGCAGACATAAGAATTAAAAAAGCAAGAGGCTGGGGCTATTTAGCATAGGGATGGAACAGTCCCACATGGCCCAGTAGGTCTTCAGGATATAATAACGGACAGCCAGAAGACCACTCGCTCATGAAGAAAAGGCGCTCAAATCTCTTCCACATGCTCTGTTTAAGAAGACAGGAAAGTGTGAAACCCATGTTCGAATTATTTTCATCCAAGATGGTTAATATAAGGGAAGTTCCAGCCCTTGAAGGGAAAAACATCAGCTATTTATGTAGCACATACCATGACACAGGGAGTTAGAGAGAGTACTGTTATGCAAACATGGATGACTTTTTTGGAAAGCAAGGAGGGCAGTCTCTAAAGAACACAGAGGAGGGGCTTTTGAAAGAGGTGAGGAGTTTTATGTCTCCTGGACAATCCTCAGGAGACCCTCCCTCCTCTTCTGTTGGTGGAGTCTGATAAGTATCTCTGAGCTTTGGCAGAGCCTTGCTGGGTAGAAGAATGTGTTTGATGTGGGAGGACAAGGCCGTTATTTTAACTGGTGTTTGGCTCCAAAGCCAAGACCCTGGTGACCCACAGAGATCTTTCAAGAAGACCTCCTCCAGGGGCTTGCACCAGGCTCTTAACACTCGTTAGTCCCTGCCTAAGTTCTGACTGATTAAGCAGAGGGTGCAGAAACGTCCCCCCACATGTGTTCTCTGGAGAGCTCCATTTAACAACAACAATAATAATAAACCATGAATAATTAATGGGTGTTGCTGCAATTAGCAACACAAACCCCACCATCATGCTAATGGCTTCATGTAGCCTGGTGGCATAGGAAACACAGACAAGAGTGTGGAGATCAGAGTGGAGAGGAGGGCTGGGTGGGATGGAGCCCTGAAGGGAACAGCTAGTGAGGGGAAGCAGGTAGGGTGGGCAAGTGAGTTAAAGACTTGAAGAGGAAATAAATGTCGGCAAGTTTGCAGGGGCTCGGAGGGTGGACCAATCGTTGGAAAACAGTTGGAGGAGGAGGCAGAAGACGGGCACTAGCTTGAAACAGGAGGAAAGAGGTGGTTCAGTGGTAGAATTCTCACCTTCCATGCAGGAGACCTGGGTTTGATTCCTAGCCAATGCACCCCATGCTCAATCACCACCCATTGGTCTGTGGAGGCTTACATGTTGTTATGATGCTGATCAGGTTTCAGAAGAGCTTCCAGACTAAAACGGACTAGGAAGAAAGGGCTGGTGATCTGCTTCCAAAAACCAGCCAGTGAAAACCCTATGGATCACAACAACCCTATCCCACTGTGCGTGGGGTCCCCATGAGTCAGGGGCCAACTCAAAGGCAGCTAACACAACAACTTGAAAGAGGTCAGAGCTGTGCTTCCTGTGTTCATATTCATATTTCCATTTACAGCTGGAGTCATGGAGAATGGTATTTTTCCCAAATGAAACATTTCAAGACAGACTCACAAAAGGAGAGAACTGGAAGGATCTCAGCAGGAACAGAGTGAATTGCTCGGATGAAACCAGGGCTTCTGAACCGGTTTGTTCAGGTTCGAACCCCTGCTGAGAATTTGCATTTCTAACAAGTCCCTAGGAAGTTATGCATAAGAATCACCTGGAGATCTTGTTAAACTGTAGAATCTGATTTAGTATATCTGGGGTGGAAATGCAAATTCTCAGCAGGGGTTTGAACCAGAACAAATTGGTTTGAAGCCCTGGATGAAACATCTCAGTGAGAAACCAAAACCAAGGTACCTCGTTCCTCAAAGTGAGGTTGTGGTAATGAGCCTCGAGCCCAGGCCTCAAGCCCAAGCTCAGATTTGGGGACTTGGTAGATCTGGGGTTTTTTTGGCTTGATGCTAACTTATGTTGGGGGCCCCCACCCCAGCTCTCTATGCTCCAACACTTGTTCATTTCTGATAAAAAGGTGAGGGCGTCTCTCCTACCCCTCCAGCCCCACCCCCATCTGTCTGCCAATTCAAAGCTGGGTTTCCTTTGACAATGGGATGAGCTTGAGGAAGTTTTGGTAAACTATGTCAGGATCTTTAATGCCAGGTAAAGAACAGAGACTCCACCACACTGAAGGACTGAACTCCTCTTGGGCACGAGATAAATAGTGGTGGTGATGATGGTGATGAAGACCACGCCAACAGCCGCTGAAACACGGGCTCGAGGTAAATTCCATCGATGACTAACAGCGAAAACCGTCAGACCACAGCATAGGAAGTCCAGCTGGCAGCTCTCTCCCACTCCATTTCAAGTCCCCTCTCAAGCATTTTCTAAGTAACTAGTAAGTACAGCAAGTACTTACAGAGAATGGTGCTGCTGGGACCCACTCGGTACTTAGTGCCCAACAGGGAAGCCAGAGCTTTGGCTGCACGCCCTGCCACCTTGTCCTGCGAGAGAGAATCAGCAGAGTGAGAAAGAATGGATCCTGCCAGCCCGCCATTCCTTCTCTGCTCTGCACTCACTGTGATGGTTTGGAAGACTCTCTGTACCTTCTCCAATATTCCCTCTGGTCTCTTCTTTCCCATCCAACCAGAGCCCCATCAACCAAAAAACCCATTGCTGTCGTGTCAATTTCAACTCATAGTAACCCTATTGGACAGAGTAGAACCTCCCCATAGGGTTTCCAAGGAGTGGCTGGTGGGTTCAAACCGCTGACCTTTTGCTTAGCAGCTGAACTCTTAACCACTTCGCCACCAGGACTCAGGCCTGACTATAAACTGAGGGACATGGACTGGTTCCTTCAACTCTTTCTCCAAGTTCTTCACTTCCAGTTTGAGGAAAGTGGTGGAGAAGGGTAGAGGGGTGCAAGATGGCGGGTAAGCACGCTGCAAGCATGAGTATTGCATGCTCAGATTGGAAGAGTTGTGTTCAAGCTCTCCAAAGATCAAAAAACTGCAGGGCTGCTACCCAGCCTACCAGGAATATGGTAAACGCACCATCACCTCCACCTGCCCCGAGGGAGGAGAATGTCCTGTCGATGGCATAAGGGAAGGCCAAGTACGTTCAAGAGAAAACCATCTGAGGAGTGGGTGTTCCAGAGTGGAGGCGGAGGCAGGGCCACCCCATATGGATGTGCCCTACCCAGGCACCTGCTGAGGAGGACCAGTGGGGCCAGAATCCGGTCCACACCTCGCCATGTGCCCTGGGTAGGGGTGCATCTGCTTAGGGGTTCATGGGCCTACGGGGCCCTGAGCAGAGGGGTGCACTCAAGCTAACTGGCACGGAGGCAGCGGCTGTCGTCACCCTGCAGATGGGAGCCCTACTCCACCCCAGGTGCCTCCCCGTGTCCTGGGGAGCATCTCTGTACATGACACAGAGCACCCTCCTCACGCCCCTCCTCAACAGGAATGAGGAACATCTCCCCCTGCCCACCATACTGCCAATCAACAGTTCTTGCCAAGCAGTGGGCCCTCAACGTGTTTCAGTCAGAAAAACAAGTGAAAAGGAAAGGCAGGTGGGCACGTGTGGCTCGTGGACTCAGAGTAGACACAGAAATGAAAAACACCGTCTTCTTCCTGTCCCCAGGAAGCCTGATGGCACATCCCAAAGAGCAGGGAGAGAAGAACCAAAACCAGTTGCCATCAAGTCAATTCCGACTTATGGCGACCCCATGTGTGTCAGAGCAGAACTGTGCTTCATGGGGTTTTTGACAGCTGATTTTTCAGAAGTAGATAGCCAGGCCTTTCTTCTGAGATGCCTCTGACTAGACTCAAACCTCCCACCTTTCAGTTAGCAGCTGAGCGCTTAGTCATTTGCACCACTCAGGGAGAGAAGACTGGACCCTTAATGAACCAAGCCCAGGCTCCTGACTTTCTCTATAAAGATGCAGAACGACCACTTCGGCTGTACCTGGAGGGTAAGGCAGGCCGGGGCTGGGCGGAAGGCAGCCACTTACCAGCTCCTCAGCGTCTGGGGCCTTGTCGACCGTGTACCCATATGGGTACATCAGCAGCTGTGAGTAGCTGTGCAGGTCAATGAAGCATTTGAAATTCCCATGTTCTTGGATGAAATCTACCACTGATTTCACTTCCACCTCTGAATTGGCATGAGGCCCATGGTACACTTCAGAGCATGGGTTGTCACTGGCTCCCTCTCCTGTGGGTGACAGCCCAAGAAGAAACAGTAACCCACAGGCCAAAGAAACAGATACAAGACACTCAACTAAGAGGAGGGGTATGGAGCTATCAGCAATGGGCAGGCCACCGCCAGGTCTTCCTGAGAACCTGGCTGGGTGGTGAATGTACAGAAGGCAGGGCACAGGAGACGGAGGCTAGGGTATTGGTCTGCTATAGCTGAGAAGAAAAACCACTAGGACTCCTTTAAATGGATAGAGTTGACCTTCTGTTGCACCCATAACAGCTGTTATGAATAATATTCATATCATACTTGACAATGAGTTGTAATTAATAAGTATTCTAGATAGTTAATATGAATACCAATTAATACTGAAAATGACTCCATTTATCTTAGTGTCAACTCCTTCTCTTGGTTCAGATCCTAATAGCCAAGTGGTGCCAAAAATAATCTATTGTTGTGGCTAAAATCTCTTGATTATTTGACATGTATTTAGAAATATTGCCTTCTGTACTACTTCACAATATAGCACCTCAAGGTATCTGGTGTGTGTGTGAAACCACTCCAGCAGTAGGAATATCTGGCCTAACTTGGATGCCCTCAGTTTCCACATTTGTATCAGCTCCTTTCCTGCAGGTACATCATTTTCCCCTCAATGGCTTTTGTGTATTTGTAGGCAAGTAGAAGAAGTATGTTAACAAAAGCAAAACATCGTGCCACTGAGGAATAGTGAAGGAGAACTGTGTGGCTTTGGAATTGGAAGGTGAGTTTGGAGCCTGGCTCTATTCAGCCATATGATCTTGAGATTGTTTCTGAGCCACCATGTTCTCATTTCAGATAATGCAATTCATTCACAAAAGAAGAATACATAAGATAATATATGAGAAAATCCCTGGCACTTTTGCAGGGAGATGGTCTTTAAATAGCTGGAACTCAGAACTCAGGTCTCTAACTCTCATTCTCTTTCCATGACGTCAAGTTGCCGATGTTCGTTCATATTCACACATTGAAGGGTAAACTGCTGGAGTTTCGTCTTCACATCCCGACCTGCTGCCCTAACAGGGGAAAGTGCTCTCCTCTGAGTTGCCCCTGGCAGCCCCCTACCCACCCAGCAACTCACCCAGGAGAAGGTGGTATGGCCAGGGAATAAAGAAGGCCCTGGAATTTGTACATCTAAGACTACAGTGGGTTATAAAAGATGAGGGGGAAAAAAACAACAGTTGCCATTGACTCCAACTCATGGCAACCCCGTGTGTGTGTCAGAGTAGACCTGTGCTCCGTAGGGGTTTTGTCATTTAAACGTGTCCCCCAAAAATATGTGTTGAAATCCTAACCTGTGGTTACAATCCCATTTGAGAATGGGTTGTCTTTGTTACTTTAACGAGACAGGATTAGTGTTGGGTGTGTCTTTTGAGATATAAAAGAGATTAAATAAGCAATCGAAAGGAGGAGAGATGGGGTAGGACAGATGCAAGACACAGGGAGATCGCCAAGGAACCAAGAAGCAGAAGCTGAAGAGACAAAGAACTTCCTCCAGAGATGACAGAGAGAAAGTCTTCCCTCAGAGCTAGCGCTCTGAATTCAGATTTCTAGCCTCCTAAACCGTGAGAAAATAAATTTCTGTTTGTTAAAGTCATCCATTTGTGGTATTTCTGTTATAGCAGCACTAGATAACTAAGACAGGTTTCAATAGCTGATTTTTCAGAAATAGATTGCCAGGCCTTTCTTTCAAGGCACCTCGGAGTTGACGCGACCCTCCAACCTTTCAGTTAGCAGCCAAATGCATTAACCATTTGCTCCACCCAGGAAGTCCGTAAACATTAGTGTAAACTGTAATCCCAATGCAAACAGGCTCTGGCCCACTGTTCTCTCAGAAGGGCAGGAATTCCTGAATCATTCAATTTCAAAATTGGAAAAATGAGATAAAAAAAACCAAACTGGAGACACAGTGAGTGTAAGGTGTTCCCCCAAAGTCTCTCAGTGAATCAGCCATGGAGCTAGACTGGAAGCTGGTCTCTCACTGGGGCCCGGGGTCCTAGTGGACCAGGCTACCTCAGCGGTAGCGGGATTTGAAAACAGCTCCCCCTCCTACCTGCAAAACTGGAGTTCCAATTTCTATTTGGGTCGACACCAATGCATTTGCTTCCAGGATTTCGGGACCGTGTCTTCCTCCAGAACCGGTTCTGAAAAATTCACCAAACATTCAGAGATAGGTCAGGGAAGAGCACCGGACAGGCAAGCTGCTGTGGCTCTGGATGTCCGAGGATCATTGGGCTCCAGTCCTCGTTCACTGGGCAGTCTCCTCTCACCCCCAGGGAGAGGAGGGGTAGCCCTCTCTGGTGCTAAGAGAGGGACTCCCCGAAACTCCCTGATGAGAATTCATACTGCCAGGACCAGGCTGACGCCACCCGAACCCACTGACCAATCTTGGCTTTAGACAAATGGACATCACGTGCTTCGACCACAAGGGAGACAGTAGAAGTGTAGAGCTCCAATGCCATTCTCGGCGAGAAAACAACCTGAATCGAATCCAGCCTCCAGATCTGACCTCCCGTTGTAGGAAATGGGGGGGATAAGGAGACAGATTAAATGGCGCAAAGCATCCAGTGGCCAAATTCCAAACGTAAGACATTCTGCGGGGCAAATCACTTGGTTTCTCCAACAAATGAGGGGCATTTGGAAACAGCGTGGGAGGGAGGGCCTTTGGTAGAATAAGAGAGACTTCAGAGACATAACAACCAAATGCAGCGTGCAGACCTTGTCTGGATCCTAACTGGAACAAACTGCCTCTTAAAAGACATTTTTAAGACAATTGGCGGTATTAGAAGATATTGAAGAACTTGCTAGTTTTTTAAAGCTGATAGTGGTGTGCTGTCTTTTTCCTTTTTTTAAATTATCATCAGGTAGAGATGCGTACCAAAGTATTTTTGGGTGGGATAGCGTGATGTCTGGGGTTTGTCTTAAAACGCTTCTGGAAAAAAATGTAGGGGCAGGAAATAGATGGAACAAAGATTGGGAAAATGTGGATAACTGTCTAATATATGGGGTTCATTAAACTATTTCTCACTATGGAAAAAGATTTCCTGGTGATTCTCAGCTGTGAGAATGACTGGCAGATGAAATCCCAAGGAAGCTCATGATGTGCTCATCCATGGAAATACTCTCCGGGGTCATACAGCTGCTTAGGGGCAAAGCAAGATATTCATCAAGAGCCTTAACTCCACGCCCAGCCCAGTTGGGTGTGACTCACTTTGGTCTGAGTGTACACATATCCATCAGGATTGGCCACAGGCAACAAGAAAATGTCCATTATCTCCAGGATGGAGGTGATGGCTGGGTCCTTCCTGTAGTCAGAAACAATCAGCACAGACAGAATGTTAGCTATACCTTGTCGATGCACACCTCCTTGATGCCCAGCTCCGAGAACAGCCCTCGCCCTGGGAGCCTCCCTGCCTCCCCAACAGCTCTCTGCTAAACCCTCGGAGCCACCCTGAACGGAACACAGCTGCTTGAGTGACATCTACCACAGTCAGTCCCGGGGCCCAGGCTAGTCACTCCTTCCGGGGGGTGGGAGGAGGGGTGCCGCACGTCAGAATAAACCCGTTGCCGTCGGGTTGATTCCAACTCATGACAACCCCATGTGTTACAAGAGTAGAACTGATACATAGGGTTTTCTTGGCTGTAATCTTTACGGAAGTAGACTGCCAGGCTTTTCTTCCATGGTGTCGCTGGGTGGGTTCAAACCACTAACCTTTCGGTTAGTAGTCGAGTACAAACTCTTCGCACCACCCAGGGACTTTTATGAATTGGATTCCCCACCTCTGAGCTGAAAAGGCCCCAGCCTACTGCATCCGGACCGAGCACCTCATCCCCTGCGCCCATCCACGTGGGACGCTGCGGGGGCACCCCAGGCCCACCAGAACTCCTGGCTAATCCCAGGCGGCATGACCTTCCTCGCCATCCAGATGCCCGTGGCCTGGGAGATCCACTCTCGGGAATGGATGCCTGCGTTCACCCAGATGGCCGGCCGCCGCTCACCTGTGCCGGTGCTGAACTGTAGGGGAAAAGACACCAGAAGTGAGCGCCGGGCCACGTCTCTACTCACCTCCCGCTCCCCATCCCGCTCCTATTCATTTAATCCATTTAAGATCATTCAGAGACCAAATGTTCCGGAGGGCACCATCTACTTATCGGGCTGCTCAATTGTTTGGTGGGGCCGAGCCGCAGCTCCAGGCAGCTTGAGCATCTCCCATTGGAAGCACACGTGGAAGAAAAATGCTACTGTGGATTGTAATGACGCTGTGATTAGCGATAATATGTCTCTTAAAGACCTAAAATGGTATCCTAACAGAGAGACACAGAGTGCATGAACCAGGCTGTCCTAGCGGATGTAGTAAATGAATTTCCTCTTCAGATTGGGATCAGGGGGTTGACAACAGCTCTTTGCCAACGGCATTAATGAACTCTGTCTCCTGTCTTTGCCACGGTCAGAGCTTGGAGCTAACGAAGCTGGAGTCTCCATCAGTCTAAACATAATTATTTTATAGCAACCAGCTCAGTGACAGGTACCCTCCTACTGGTAATTTGCCCCTTGCTGTAAGTCTGGGTTCTTCAGGGCTTAGAGGATGCTAAGGGTTTGGCAAATTCTTAGCACCACCAGTTGTCCCACAATTTGTTATCTCCAAATTCCTTGTTACCCATTTGACTGGATTATTTATATCCAGTAAAACCTGCGAAAGCCAGAACCTGTGTAAGGCGGAAACCTGTTAGAGAAGGAAAACTCAAATCATTTCCACTAAAATGAGCAATAGAAAAGTGGTAAGACTGCACCCTGTCAAAGGCAGAAAACTTGCGAGACCCCGAAAAGCAAGGCAGTCCTGTTGAGTTCTGGCTCTTATAGGTTTCACCGTAATTTATGTAACGATCATCATTCTCTATCTCCTTTGCCAATATAGACCTGAATCTGTGAGAAATATCTGGAAATTAGGCTCTGAGCAGCCAACGGCCCATGGGCTGGACTTAAAATGATGTCAACCCTAAAATTAGCATCCAAGGTCGTTTTTCCAATAAGCCAGACAAATCCAGAGCCCTGGTGGCACAGTGGTTAAGAGCTACAGCAAGCTATTGTTGCTAACCAAGAGGCCAGCCGCTCCTTGGGAACCCTGTGGGGCAGTTGTACTCTGTCCCATAGGGTCGCTATGAGTCAGAATCGACTCGACGGCAATGGGTTTTTTGTTATTTTTTAAACGAAACCTGTTGCCATCAAGTCAACTCTGACTCATGGTGACTCCATGCGTTTCATAGCGGAACTGCTTGCCGTAGGGTTTTCAATGGCTGTGAGCTTTTGGAAGTAGGTCAACAGATCTTTCTTCCAAGGCACCTCTGGGTGGACTCAAGCCACCAACCCTTCCATTAGTAGCCAAGTGCATTAACTGTTTGAGTCACCCAGAGACTCCGCTTTTCCAATAAGCACCCTTAAAAGCAGAAGAGAGTTTGTAGAACTATCCCAGTTTGTCTTTCTATTTAGAGAAGGTGGGAATGAAGGAAAAGAATGTGGTCCATCTGAGAGCTTTCTGGAATACTTGCCTGTCCCCATTGATCTTGCCTTTCAGTCAAGTCTTAGTATGGGGTGTACTCATTCTAACTCTCTCAACATAAGGCAAAAGCAAGGGACTCGGTCAGACCAAATTCTAACCTGGGTCAGATATCCCCCAGCTGTGCCCTCCTCCCTGACGCCAGGGAGATCCTGACAAGCTGCCTCCTTCAGACACCTGAAGTCTGGGTCCTGGAAGTGCCTGGGGCCTCACCTTCAATACATACAGTGGCCGGTTCTCAAACGAATGTCCAATTTTCACCTGGCTCACGAAGTCAGGAAAATCTGCAGCCATGCTGTCCATTTCAAGGTAAATCTGAGGTGGAAAAAGTGAACCCAAGGGCATTTTTAAAAATCTGCTCAGCTCTGCGTGGGGGTCTGTGAACTTTATCTTGTTGGTCTTAAGGATGTCTTACCTAGCCTTGGGGTCAACAATATTATCAGCACGGAATGCTTATTCTAGAGAAACTACCGAAAGAAGTCCTTTACCATTTTGTAGAGAATAACACATTTTATTTGCCCACACAATCATAGTCCACTAAACTAGAGAGATTTATCAGCTCTTCCTCCAACAGCTGCAGTCCTCTGCACCGGACAAGACTAGAGAACCAGTAACAGCCCCATTTAGCCAAGCTTCTTGAAAGCAATACTCTCTCAACTTTTTGATCACTTTCTCCATCGGTTAAAAAAAAAAAAAATTTAACACACACTGTATATATAGATACGACTCATAGCAACCCTATAGGACAGAGTAGAGCTGCCCCACAGGATTTCCAAGGACCAGCTGGTGGATTCGAACTGCCAACCTTCTGGTTAGGAGCCGAGCTCTTAACCACTGTGCCACCAGGGCTCCAATAGTGTTGCTATGAGTCAGAATCGACTTGATGGCAACCATTTGGGTTTTTTTTTTTTTTTTTTTTGCTATATATATATAGATGGAGCCCTGGTGGCACAGTGGTTAAGAGCTCGGCTGCTAACCAAAAGGTTGGCAGTTTGAATCCACCAGCTGCTCCTTGGAAACCCTACGGGGCAGTTCTACTCTGTCCTACGGGTCGCTATGAGTCAGGATCAACTCAACAGCAGTGGGTTTGGTTTTCTTAGTTTATAAATAGAGAGGGAGAGAGAGATACATACAGTTGTTGGTTGCCATCAAGTTGATTCCAACTCATGGCAACTCCGTGTGTGCAGAGTAGAACTGCTCCACAGGGTTTTCAAGGCTGTGACCTTTCAGAAGCAAATCACCAGGCCTGTCTTCTGAGGTGCCTCTGGGTAGGTTCAAACTGCCAACCTTTCGCCTAGTAGTGGAACACTTAACTGTTTGAGCCACCCAGGGACTCTCTCTCTACCTATATACATATAATATATACATGTATATATATAATACATGTATATAACATATACATGTACTATGTATAAAAAAGGTTGAGTTCGTAATAAATATAAATACATGTGGAAATATAGATAGAAGTTGTAATCATTTCTTCCTCCATCCCAATGGACCATCTTGCTTACACCCGGCAGTGGAGGCACCCTACTACAGAAATGATTTCTCTAAAGCTTTGTGAGAGCAAGTGAAAAACTGTGAACAGTGGCTAAGAAAGCTTCCATTTGCTTTCAGCAAAAAAAGGTTTGATTGAAATAGAATTATCCACCTTAGTTGCTTGAGCCTTTTGAAGGTCAACAGAAGGAAATAAACAAATACATATTTAGTCCTTAAAATTGGAAGAGGCAGCCATTTAGAGGAGGAAAATGTGCAGTCAATATAGAATAAAATCACACATAAAGGGTTTATCAGACTTGCAGTCAATCTGGCAGACTGAACAGAAGCAAGAAACCATCCCCAAACACACAGGTACACCAGATAAAATACAATGACAATGTTACAAATGCACAGTCAAGTTTAAAAGCAGAAAAAAGGGGAGCTTGTAGGTGCCAGAGGGGAGGGGTAGAGATGAAGCCGCAGGACCATCTTTCCGCCTCAGAGGCTGAGGGTTTGCAGCAAACCAGGATAGGAGTAGAGGACATTGGACCCAGCGTGGGGCAAGAGCTGCAACTGAGCTCCTTACATAAAAGTGAGAGCTGGGAATTGGCAGTTCCAGCCACGAAGGGGGCCCGGAAAACTCTACCCACTGACCCTGGAAAGTGAAGCAAAAGCACGATGCCTCCCTGAGCCATGAAAGAAAAGAGAGTCACCCAGGAAAAGTTAAAGCACCACACTATGTCCAGATGTGGGTTCACACTCACGACTGCCAGCATCAGGGGAAACAAGAAACTAAGAAAGATAACAATCACCACAGTAACCACACCCAGAAGGTCTAGAACCAGAAACCCTGGCAGAGACAAACTGAAATTCCCATGAGAGACCTAAGAAAGCCCGAGTGGCTGAAAGTTGTTTTTAGAAAGCACTGAACGTGATCAAGCTAGGAGGGAGATGGGACTCCAAAATCCACAGCAAAAGGCCTCACATGAAATGAGAGAAAGCTGTAAAACTGATTGCAAGGGGCACCAAAAGCCAGAGAACCAGAAGCCAGCATCTGATGAGAAAGTGAGACTCCAGGAGCAGGCAGGTGAGGGGACAGGTGACGTTTGTGACTGGTCAACTCAGCTGGGGAGTGCTCCATACTAATGAGGCACACATCATGGGCTTGAATCCTGTGTGGGCCCATTCACTCTGCCTTTGTCCATGGCCGCAGACTGAACTCCTAACTTCATCCAGCTGTTTTGCAGATGTGTATCACCGGTCACAAGACAGATCAAGGGGCAGTGCGGTTGGAAGTCTGCATAATAAACAAAACTTCCAATAACCATGGGAAAGGAGCGGAAATAGTGGGTCAACCTTTGAAACAACCCCATCTAGAAAAAATACCAGCTTAAAGTATATTGCCTTATGAAAAGGATACAGGAACACCATCTCTACATATGAAGAACCTCATGTATTAAGGTATATGAAGGAGAATACCTGCTTAGATTTGGGATGTGTTCCTGAGCTCGTAGAGTGTGCAGATTAATGGAGAAGAGAGTGAGGTACATAAGAGAACTATACTGCGTGTGTCACAGTTCCAGTCCAATATCATATTAAATTATTCTGCTCCAAGCTTTTCATTTGAAGGGTTGACTTACCTTGAAAGTCAGTCATCAATGTAAAGTGGTTTCTAACTAAACATAGAACCAAAACACTTTATGGAACAAATATACGTTGTCAGTGGTCATGATAAATGAGTGGAAATATTTGGTTAACCTTGGAAGTAACCACTTGTCTAGTTGCCTGGAATAAGTAACATTTTATCCTGAGTGAACAAAATAGAGATTGTGGTGGGTATAAGAAGGTGGAATTACAAGGACTAGAAATGACTGCAATTATTTCATGGTTTTCTTTGAGGGCTTGCTTAAGAAATGAAGGATGCATGTTAGGGAAAATGTCCAGTTTGCGTGTCGCCAGGGACGGATTACCCAATAAAAAAGGAACGCACGGGCTTACTTGGGCCTACTTACTAATCTGTAGTACACAATTTCACAGGTGAAACACAATTAAGCTCATGTGTACCTGCTTACCGTAAGCCCATGCATACCTCGCTTACTGCAAGCCTGTGTGTATCGTGCTTACTTGGTTAATCTGCCCCTGTCACTATGCTCTTAGGTGCTGGTGAGAGTCAAACTAGCCAAGAATAAGCATGGAATGGAAGTGTACACATTCTTTTGCCCCTAAGTGAAGTGATATTGTGCCAAAGACGAGTATCTCCCAGAAGTAACGGGAGGGGGTATGCAAACCCAGGAGGCAGATAAACTTGATAATCTGCTCTGAAACACTTACTGCTTCCAGAGAATGGTAGGCCCCGTAGTTGAAAGGATCACCACTCCGCTCTCTCCCTTCATTGTGTTGCGTTTCCTCATCTTCGTCATCTAAAAGGGACTAAAACAGGCAGGGCAACGTTGTGAGAGCGGCCCATGCAGGTAGAGGTTCACGTTTTTTCTACCATCTCTTGAAGTGTGGGCTTCACCAAAATGGCGACACCCTCAGCACACATATCAAGCGACACAAATGTCAAAGTTTAAAAGGGGGTCAGATTTCTTCCATATATTTATAAAAACCTTACTTCTTGGCACCCAACTTACATCACCCCATTCAAAACCCACTTACTCCCTGGAAGCAACATACGTGCTATTTGGTTATCCTACACCTTGAATTCTCTAGACATCAGCCCGCATCTGGTATCCAGCGCCTCTGAAATACACCGCTTGGAAAACCATTCAGAAACAAAGAAATTCTTATAACCACTCATCTTTGAAGGTTCCTGGCAGATGTCTGTGACATATGAGGATGATTAATAAGCTCACAGCTGCTCACGCCATCAGGAAACTCCCAGGCCAAATCACCAATTAGTCCATAACCCACCTCGGTGAGGGAGAGAACATGACACTGCCCTGCTGTTCAGATACAGGATGTGAGGCTGGTGTCTGGCTTGGAAGGTGATGTTCCCTCTGCTGGGGGCTGGTGGTAACATTCCCCCTTTCTCAAAGGGTGCATTTTATGACTGGTCTCCCACACCCTCTCCCCACTCTGCTCTTGCCCCCTGACTTCAGATAAGAAGAGGGAGAAAATAGTATTTATGGGGCATCTATGATATACCAGACACTGTTAGACATTTTATGTACACTTAATCACTTAGTCTTCTCAATAATCCTATGAAGTAGGTATCACTATTACCATTTTACTGATGAAGAAACTGAGACTCAAGAGGTTAATAGCTTGTCCAAAGTCACATAACTAGTAGTTAGCAAAATTAGGATTTGGATCCAGATCAGTGTGGTTTCATAACCTATGTAGGCCCTTCCTACTAAAACATATTGTTCCTCGAACAAGTCACTTGCTTTCCTTTCAGATACCTCAATTTTTTTCATCTGTAAAATGGAGAAGGGTTGGACCAGAACTTGAAAATCTCTCAGGTACACTCTGGATTGGCTGGAGGACCAGTGAGGGGCCCTGGCCTACCCACCTGCAGGTCTTCAGTCGTCACTGAGTACTCTAAGCCCTGGGACTTCAGGAAGGATTTGACTGGCTGCAGACTGAAAGACGGGACCTGGATATCCACAGGACAACCAAAAGTGGAGGGAGGTTTCCAGAAGTTAAGCTGAAGAGGAAAGAAACAAAACCAGGTTAAAGGACAGTTCAGGTAAAAGGCACAATGAGCTCATTCTTCTAGAACCACTGCCAAATGCCAGGGTGATCCCTGAGGGGCTGGGTGTCCAAGAGCAAACGCTGCCATTTCACATTGTATCTGGTCAGTCCTGCCCAGTGGAGTCCAAGAACCAATAAGCCTATGGCAGAGAGCAGGATGGAGCCCACGACTCATGCCTCCCATCTCCAGGACAGCACTACTGACCAACCACACTTCTCCTCCACCACTGTCTCAACATGTAAATGCCATGTTGACTAACACAGGATTATACACAGAAAAGCTTCCGGAATAATAATAATCACAATGCTGGTGGCACAAAAGTCTTCTCCCACCGAAGTTAGAAGATGCCCAAGAGGACTGAGAAGAAGAAGTTACCGTAAAGTTGTCCGAATTCACTAGCTGAATCAGTTTGTGGATCTCATCTTCATTTCTGACATTGATCCTAAAAACTTGGTCCCTAGAGGGGGGATTAAAAAAAACACCAAAAGATAATGGTGACCTTTCAGCTGGCAAATAAAGCCACACCTACCACCCCAGACATAACTGGACTGAATAAGAGGAAATGGTCTAGTCTTTGGTTATAATGTATAGCCATTAAAAATAAGACTACATAGCAAATATGAAAAAGCGCTTATGGTATAACTTTAAGGGAAATATTAAGTGAAAGAGCAGGACACAAAACTGTGTGTATGCCATGATTACAAGCATGGAAAAAGCAGATGGACTGGAAGAAAAACAGACAACGGAAATATACCAGAGGCTGACGGTGCTTATGTTCGGGTCATGGGATTATGGATGACTTACTCTTTTTTTCCCCCTTGTATCTGTTTTCTGTAATGTGGTCATATTACTTTATAATGAAAAACATATATATTTTCCAGAAAGGAATGTTCCTGAGTTACACGCAAAGCTAACTCAAGACATAAAGAAGCACTTCTTCAATGTCAGGGGCCAGGGCTGAAATGTTGGCGGAACCTCCAGGCTGGGAGGGGCTAGGGGAGAAAACAGACCCTGTATCCTCAGAGGTTTAGAAAAGAGGGGAGATGTTGGAGGGGGAGTCCCTTAATCCCTTCCAGCTCCAGAATCCTATACAAATGCGGATTGCAGAGGGCCGTGAATATGGCCCGGGGTACTGATGCTGTATTTGGGACAGGGCCCCCCTCCCCCCGCCCTGAGGGAGCCTGCCCTGTCCAGAGCCCCCTTTGCTGTTTGTCCTGCACTTGTGTCGTGTACACCATTCAGCAGCGACAGCGGAAGAGGCCCCTGAAGCCTGGGTGTGGGTGGGAGAAGGCCGAGCTGGAAAAGCTGCCTTTGTGTCCCACGCCTGCTCAGGGAGCCAGGGGATCCATTAGGCCGTTGCTAGGTGACAGCTCGAATGAATCCGCACTCGACGCTGTCACATGTGTCATCCCTTTGACACAAATGAATGCGGGAAGAGAGGCTGGAGAGGGCTGTGGGCTGAAGGACCTGTTGACAGAGAAAATGGGTCTGTCACCGGGAGCTAACTATGCAGCCTCACGTGGCAGCTCAGCCTCTCTCTGTCTTAAACACCAGCTCCAACCGGATGGGCCCTAAGGGTCTTACTTTGTTCTGGAAGGATCTGGGGGCTCTGGTTGGGGGGGAGGGGAATCCAGGCCAACCTTAAGGAGGCAGACTGGGTCCACTGCAGAGCTGCCACCATTACAGACAGCAGGTCTGGAGGAGCTGCTAGGGCTGAAGTTTCCCTTGAACGACTTGTTGTCTCCACAAGGTCCTGCAAGGGGGCAGCCCGTCTGCATCCCTGAGAGCGGCTGAGGCATCTTGGAGAAACCACTGGCTGGACAAGTCTGAACCCAACAGCCTTGTCCAGAGTTTACCTACAGCCCTGGGACTGTGGGACCAGGGTATGGTAGATGAGGGAGGAACCAGACTACCATTCTCTGACATGAGCAAGCAGGTTCACAAAAAAGGGATGGGTTGAAAACGGAGGGAACCCCTCATTCCTGACTGAATACTAGGGCCAGTCATCCACACTCATGCTCTGTCACAACCTACTCCCCCGACAATTCAGAAAAAGGAGTGCACTGAAGATAAGCATTCTAGACTCAAACTGATACGTGCACACCAATGTTCATTGCAGCATTATTGACAACAGCCAAAAGGTAGAAACAACCCAAATGTCCATTCAACGAATGAATGGATAAACAAAATGTGGTATATACATTGTTGTGGCCGTTGAGTCGACTCCGACTCATGGCGACCCCACCTACAACAGAACGAAATGTTGCCTGGTCCAGCCTGGTAACATCTTCACAATTGCTGGTATGCTCGAGACCATTGTTGCAGACACTGTGTATTTTGAGAGCTTTCCAATCTACAGGGCTCATCTGTATCAGACAATATTCTGCTGTGACCCATAAGACTTTCACTGGCTAACTTTCAGAAGTAGATCACCAGGGCTTTCTTCCTAGTCTGTCTTAGTCTGAAAGCTCCACTGAAACTTGTCCACCACGGGTGACCCTGCTGGTATTTGAAATACAAGTGGCGTAGCTTTCAGCATCATAGCAACGCGCAAGCTGACAGATGCGTGGTGAGGTGTATATATACAATGGAATACTATGCAGCCATAAAAAGGTATGAAGTTCTGATACATGCTGTGACATGGACCTTGAAAATATTATGCGAAGTGAAATAGGTCAGACACAAAAGGGCAAATATTGTATGACCCCACTTAGATGAGAAACGTAGAATAGGCAAGTTCATAGAGACAGAAAGTAGAACAGAGATTACCAGGGGCTTAGGGGAGGGGTAATGGAAATTATTGTTTAATGGACACAGAGTTTCTGTTTAGAGTGATCAGAAAGACCTGGAAATGGATAGTAGGGATGGTTACACAACATTGTGAATGTTCTTAATGCCACTGAATTGTACGCGCAAAAATGGTTAAAATGATGAATTTTATGTTATGCGTATTTTACCACAGTAAAAAAATGGGCATTCTAGAAAAAGCCTGTGCCTCGACACCTTCACTGGCAAAACTCTTGTTGTGGTTGTTAGCTGTCATCGAGTCAATTTCGACTCATGGTGACCCCATATGTGCAGAATACCAAAAACCCGTTGCCGTTGAGTCCATTCCAACTCATGGCGACTCTATAGGACACAGTAGAACTGTTCCACGGGGTTTCCAAGAAGCAGCTGGTGGATTTGAACTGCCAACCTTTTTGGTTAGCAGCTGTATCACACTGTGGCTCTTAACCACTGTGCCACCAGGGCTCTGTGAGCAGAACAGGCATTTGTAAAATACAACACTGACGAGAACTATAGCAAAGAAAGAAGGAAGGCAGAAGGAACAGGAAGAGAAACACGAGGAATGTAACAATAAGAAGTTCTTTGGAATATGAAAACCCTGCTACACATCCACCTAGACTGTGTATTTTGCATTTCCCGAGGCAAAGACTTCATACTAGAACTTGCACACTCTGGAGCACAGACCGCAGCAATGGAACACAGTGAATCTGCAACTCTAACTGGCCCAGATGGTGATTAAATCCACTACCCATTTCATCATGCTCTAATCCATCAAGCTACAGAAGCTAAAGAAACATGTGTAGTGCACAGAGGGACAGAAGGCAAGGGCTGATGCCTCTGCCCCTCGTCTGCCTCTCTCCTCTACACCCTCTTGGCTCCAGCCTCCTGAGACCCCCAATTCGCCGTGGACCTTTGCCCTCCTATGCCTCTGCACAATCCCTGGGTGGCGAAAACGGTTTATGCTCAGCTGGTAACAAAAAGGTTGGCAGTTTGAGCCCACCCAGCGGCACCATGGAAGAAAAGGTCTGGAGATCTATTTCTGTAAAGATTACAGCCTCCAAAACCCTTTGGAGCAGTTCTACTCTGTAACACACAAGGTTGCCATGAGCCAGAATCGACTCGATGGCACAAGACAACAACAACAAATGCCTTTGCACACATTGTTCCCTCTGCTGGCCTGCCCATCCCTTTTCCTTATCTGCCTGGCGATCTCCCAACCAGTCTTCACGACCTAACTCCCATCATCCATGAAGCTTTCTCTGCCGTAAGGCAGAGTTAGATACTGTCTTCAGGTGGTCTACCAACTGGGGGAAGGATCTGCCATTATTCTTATGACCATAAGCGTATCAATACCTGAAAGCAGAGAGAAAGTAAGTGGGGCGCCACGTGAAGGGCAGCCTTTTCCTTGCCTTCATTGGCCTTGTCCCTGTTTGAAAAATGCCTGTCCAGGTCATGAGTGTGGACGGTTGAGTACAACCTATCTACACTATCTGGAAATTCACTGTAGACCTCAGATTCTTTCTGAAGATGGAAGACTGGCCTAGGGGGCTGGGGAGCATGTTGGGATTTGCAGGTGGCCGTGTCCACCCCTCCTGCTCTCTACTCTATGGGTGTTATTACAGCTCTTAAGTCTCTCCCTCTTCCATGCCCAGTGCCATCCAGCTGTGGCCAATGCAATGGTTAGGGAGACCCTCTCATTCACCTCACACTTGTCCCATGTTCTGGACAGTCCATATTCACCTGGTGACTGAGCTTCTACCACTCCCCTTGTACTGAGCGGGCAGCCAAGGGGCCTGTTCTTTGGGCCTTTCTCATCTACTCTTTGTCTCTTTATCACCTGCATACCCAGCCAGGCTTAGCAGCCACCCCGAGTAATAAGAGATGGTCTCACACGACTCTGAAACATCTGCCAGATGCTGCTGAGGCAACAACCAGTTCTGCAACTACTTCCTGCCCTCTGCCTGCCCCCTACCTCTCGGCACCCGGCCACCGTCCATCCTTCAGATGACTGAAGACAAGGACAAAGGCACCAGCTGAGCAAAAGAGCCTGGGGAGGTGGGCGAGTTGGGTGGAACGGAGACTGGGTGGTGAGGAGAAACCCCCATCTTCATCTCCATCGCCCTTCCACCCCTCAAAGCCAATCTAAGTCCTGGCTTCCCCACCAACCACCCAACGGGGAGGCCGGCTTCCCCTTGCTCTAAATGTTCATTGAGCCAGGTGTCTGGGACATATCTGTGGGCCCCAAGAAGGATTCCACAACCTCTATGGGTTCCCTACTGTGGGGAGAAAACAGATTCTGGGAAGAGGATGACACTCTTGGTTAAAATCAACCGCAATTAACTCAGACGTCAGCCCCATCCATGCAGAACAGTGGTGAGCACTCCAGACCCAGCCCAGCTGTGTCAGGGCCAGGTGTCTGCGCTTTGTAAGAGAGGCCTGCGTCCTGAGGAACAGAGATTTTTCGGCACTTGAAGAGCTGCAGTGGGCGCCTGACGGCTCTGTGCACCAGCCCACACGGCAGCAAGTGTAAGCTATTACACATCTACTGCTGGGCTGCCTGTGGAAAAATCTCCTTCCCAGGCCACCTTCTACGCCTAACTCCTCCAGGCCATTTGGCAATAGAGACACAGGTGTGTTCAGAAGTCATCACCATAAAAATTACTCAATCCCATATAAGTCATTACCCGAATAAACGACCCCAAAGTCCTTTTAGCCTAATAGTGATAGCTGAGAGCAAGCTAACAGCTACAGTTAGAGCCGTGAGATACAGGATTCTGTGTGGAGGTTGTGTTCCAGCAGAAGGTTATGGGATTTTGTTTTGCATTCAGAGTTCCAGCTAGCCTGCTTACCAGCTAAGTGGCCTTGGGTGGGTTCCTTAAGGCTGACTTTTTTCATGTTTAAATTGAGGAAAATAACACCCCTGCCTGGCAGGGTTCTTGTGTGATCCAAAAGACAATGTACATGAAAGCTTTTTGCAAATGGCAAAGCGTTACGCAGTAATGAGTTATTATAATTCAATCTTCTAGCAGGGCACCGTGGCATCCTTTCATCTGTCCTACCTCCCCAAAGTCTTCTCCTTTGCACACCTCAGAGCATTCTGTGTGGAGCACGTTGAGCAAGTGTGTGCACGCACACACAAATACACACAGACAACGTACAGGTGTGTCCTTGCATGTCAATTTTCGATGCCAGGGCAAGGCAAGACCTAGCAAATCTCACGTCCCAAAAGCTGACCAGAAAGCCCGGTAAAGGCCCTCACCATTAACAGAGGCAAAACCAAGAGTCTAAGATTCAGGTTTTCCCTTCAGTGTGGCAGAAATTAGAAATGATAACTGGTAATTCTTGGCAATTAATAATGTAGGAGGAAAAAAGCCAAAGATGCCTGCAAGTGACTTTACAAATAAGAACTAGGGAGAAGACAAATTGGCAGGAGGCTAGGGAGCTGGGAGGGGACCATGGAGATCATCTCGTCCTGACTTCACAGATGAGGAAATCAGGCCTCAGAGAAGAGCAATAACTTGTCTAAGAGGACACAGTGGCTGAGCGAGGACAGAAGCCAAGGTCTTCTTTTTCAGTGCCATACTGCTCGAGGGATAACCAGCTGTTCATTTTCAATTTCATTTGGTTCCCAAGTTTCTGAACTAACCAAATAATAAGTCCAAAAGGAACTTACCCAAAAAACTTCTCTTGGCAACAGATGCTGGGCCCAATAAGGGCCCCAAAGAAGAGTATCCACCTCATGTTCCAAGAGTATCAACCACACACTGGCTGAGTCAAGCTGTATTTATAAGCAGTCTGAAGCAGACTCACGTCCTCAAAAACGCTAATGTATTTCCCAAGCACCCTTACAGCTCTCACTATAGGCAGGCTGGTCCCTGCCATTCCTTTAGCGTGATAAAAAACAAGCCACTCCATTTACAAGTCAGGAACCTGCTCCACAGGCTGGAAAAGGCTGTGCCAAGGGTGCCATGTTGCTCATCCCTCCACATTGAAATAGTGTTTTTTGAATAAACAGGAAGTCCCACAGTACTGGATGGAGTCCATACTGATAGGAGACATCAGACTGTAAACCTGGGACTGCGTGACTTCTAGAGTAATAAAAAAGTGAAGAGTATCAAAGCAACCCCAAGCCAGTTTGCAAGACCACATCAGAGCAAGTCATAACGAGCTCCCTGGGTGGCGCAAACGGTTTGCGCTCGGCTACTAACAGAAAGGTTGGTGGCTTTGTGGAAGAAAGGCCTGGCAATCTGCTTCCGCAAAGATCACAGCCAAGAAAACCCTATGGAGTTCAAGTCTACTCTGTAACACATGGGGGCGCCATGAGTCAGAAGCAACTCATCAGCAATGGCTTTGGCTTTTTTGATTTTAGGTCCTAATGAGGAAAGTCATGGCTTCTGTTATAAATCTGGAGCCTGATTCTTATGACTCCACTACAAAAGCAGAAATATATGAGGGAATTGGCATAGGAAGAATGTGTTACTCTGAATAAATTACTGGTTTTCCTTGGGGTCTCAGCTAAAAGATGAGGCTTAATGATATCATTCATAATAAGACTTTTTTGCATTGGCTAGACTCTGAGTCTGGTGGTCTTTCCATCAAGTCCAATAGAATAAACAGAAAACACTCAGGATCTCCAGAACTTCTTCAAGAGCTCTGGGGCCTCTGAGTCTGTCCTGGCACTCCCAATTCCCACAAGCCTCCCCTATCCCACTGTCTCCACCGTCTACATTCTTGCCCAAGGGGAGTGGGTACATCAAGGGTCATAGTTGGGAGTTGTGGAGGTGGGGCTCTATCTCTTCTTCCTCCTCAGGACTCTTATGTCCTTCCAGCACTGAAACTGTACCCCTACGCCCACCCTGTCCCCGCAAAGGCTGGGCTCTACTTCACTGACAGAGATCTCAGCTTTGAAGCCAGTAATAAGAGAAACTGAGACCCAACCCTGCAAGAGACGTGAAGATAAAGAATCAAGTACTCGGAACTCTAGGCAAGCTGAAATTCATTTCCCACCCTTCTCTCCCAGGGAAAACCATCAATATGAAGAAAATCTAAATCCCAAATGGAAGTGAATGTCTACAGAGAAACTGTGTGAGATCTGAGACCCAGACTCGACGGGGCAACCAGGGGCAAAGAGTGTCGTTTTCTTTGGTCCTCACCAGTTTTTATAATGCAAGAAATGGAAAAGCAAAAGGCAGCAAGGGAGATTAGAGGAACCAGCCCTCGAACAATGCCTGGCACAGTGCAGCTGCTTAATCAGCATTTACTGGGTAAATGAACTCTAAAGTCCCTTTATAGCTCCAAACCAAAACTAAAGCAGTAATCCGTCAAGTTGACTCTAACTCATGGTAACACCGAGTGTTACAGAGTAGAACTGTGCTCCGTAGGGTCTTCAAGGCTGTGATCTTTTAGAAGCAGATCTCCAGGCCTTTCTTCAAAGGTGCCTCTGGATGGGTTTGAATTGATAAACTTTCGTTTAGTAGCACTTAACCATTTACAACACCCAGGGACTTCTAGCTCTAAAGACTACTCTGTTAGGATGAAGGGGTAAAGTACAGTGGCTCGCTGTGTTTTAGAGCAGTATAAACGGACGAAATGATGCTCCCAGATCAGGATTAGAAACAGGAATGATCACAGTCCAACTCTGCTTCACACCAAAGACATTTTAATGGTGTTGACTCCCCGGAGCTCTAATACGGGTGGTCTCGAACGTGCTCCATGATTGCCTTTAGGCCCAGCCAGGTCTCCTCCGCTGTGGGCAAGATCTGTTTGGCTGGCAGGAGGAAGCCATAGCGACCCGTGTCTCTCAGTTCAAAGGCAAATGAGTATTTGATGCCATAGTCATAGGACCAGTCAATGCTTCCACCACTGGCTTGGTCTGGAGGGCAAAGGAGAAAAGTCTGGTTATGCTATGCCTACTGGCCCCTCCCAACCACATAACCTCTGTATTCAGTTCCACTACCATCAAAGATAAGACTATGAGGCTATGAGAGTAAGGACAGCTTATTAGAGGGTTATGCTTATGAAAAAATACAAGTATAATTTGAAAAGCAAAAGGCATTATTCAAATGGACACTCTACTTAGCCTTCCGTTGGCCTTCTTGGGAAGCCCTGGCTTCACCCACCCATTTGGAACCCTGACTTCTCTCTTAATTGGCATCTTCTGCACCTTAGGGAGGCCACACCACTTCCTGAAGTCCTTCTCTAGACCAGTGCTAGGCTTGCCCATTGTTTTCTCTAAGAGAGGAGGAGGGACTACAAATGGAGTAAGAGACTGGTCCCTGCCTTCAGGGGACTTTCAGTACAAGGGTGGGGTAGGCTCCGGTCTGATATGAAATAACATGCCCAGCACTACTGCATGATGGGTTGAACCTATACAGTAATGTGCACCTGAGATATGTGTCACCGCTGACGTGACAGATGATGAGGGGAGACGGCTTTAGCCTACAAAGGCTTGGAGCAATGACTTGGAAGGGCTGAGCAATGGACTGGCCCGGGGGCCCCTCACACAGAGGGCAGGTGGAGGGCATGGCTGGGGCAGACAGAGGAAGCCACCTAGTCCTGAAGAACGGGGCTGGACGAAGGGGAAGACCAGGAGGTTGTACCAGGAAAAGTAAGGCTAGTGCATAATATTCTGAATTAATCCTGTGAACGCCTGTGATGATGTCTTTGCCTTCACCAGCGGCAGCTATGGTGAAAAAAAAAAGAAAAAAAGCCAAACCCCTTGTCGAGTCAATTCCAACTCATAGCAACCCTACAGGGCAGGGTACAACTGCCCCAGAGGGTTTCCAAGGAGTACCTGGTAGATTTGAACTGCCAACCTTCCGGTTAGCAGCCGAACTCTTAACCACTACGCCACCAGGATTTAGTACCTGACAAATAACAAACACTAAATGGTTGCTGACTTGAACTTAGCCAGCCTTGGGTACCAAAATTACTGACACCTTTGGTGTGGCTACACAACACAGCTGGTCCCGCTGACAGCTCTATACTCGTAACCCGTTGCTGTCAAGTCGATTCCAACTCATAGCGACCCTACAGGACAGAAAAGAACCACCCCATAGAGTTTCCAAGGAGCAGCTGGTGGATTCAAACTGCCAACCTTTTGGTTAGCAGCCAAACACTTAACCACTGCACCACCAGGGCTCCGAAAGGTCTCTGATGGACAGAATACTGGCATCAGATTGAATCCTGACTCTGAAAATCATTAGCTAGGTGGCCTAAGGCAAATCACTTCATCTCTCTGAGCCTCCTGCTGCTTCATCTGTCAAATAAGGGTAATAATATATTTATTTCACAGGGCACTGAGGATTAAATGGGAAATATAATGGTTATGATTACAACACTTGTTGAAAGCTTACTGAATGTGCCAGGCTCTATGCTAGACACTTGCTATGCACTGGTGTATTTAATTCCCAGCTCAGTCAGGAGGCAGTACAAGTATTATTGCTATTTTACAGGCGAGGAAACTGAGATTCAGAGAGATGAAGTGAAGGAGCGAGGATAATGTATATAGACTAGGCATTCAATACATGTCAGTTATGATTATAACTATCATTATCCATCCATGACTAGAATCCTATAGAAAGGTGAGGCCACATTAAGGATCAGCTGTGTTTGGAGGAGAGCCATTCTCCAGGAAATGAACAATCAACATTGATATGATGCTTTAGAGTTAGTAGACACTTTTATTCTATGTTCTATCTTTGAAGCCTCTCGACAACGCTTTTCACAGATGAAGAAACCAAGGAAAGATGAGTGACCTGCCCAAGGTTACTTGGTCCCTAAGTGGCAGAGCTATAACTCAAACCCAGGCCTCTGTCCCCAAGGTCTGGGTTTTTCCCCCTACCTCTCCCTGCAAAAGAACGCAAGAAACTTCTCCTGGACCAAACACCAACTGTGCAGGTCCTCAAAGCCCCTCCAGACAACAAACTTCACAGGAAGTATCTCAGCCACCACAGAGGCACGGCCAAATCTTGGGTGGAGTGAGGAGGCAGGTGTTCAGCCCAAAGCTGCATACCAACCTGGGGCAGGAGGCAAAGAGAACTTAATTGGGACTGAGGCAATGCTTGTCCAGGCTGAGATGAGACCAGGATAACAGAGTCAGCCGTGGGCAGGGCTGCAGCCAGAACCTGCTTGACCATTTGTGATCACGTTCCAAGGGATCACACGGCAAACCCTGTTGCTCGTCTGAGACTTGCCTGTTAGAAATACCTCAGTTCCCTCTCTTGTCGGTGACCTTACCAAGGAAGACATACTAAACCAGGTCCATCTTGTTTGTAAATACCTCCAGATACCACAACCAGTTGCCATGGAGTTGACCCCCGCTCATAGCAATCGCATGTGCGTCAGAGTAGAACTGTGCTCATAGGGTTTTCAGTGGCTGATTTTTTGGAAGTAGATCGACACGCCTTTCTTCCAAAGTACCTCTGGTTGCTCTCGAACTGCCAACCTTCTGGTTAGCAGCCGAGTGCATTAACTGTTTGCACTACCCAGGGACTCGTCCTCCAGATAAGGAGTGTGAAAAACTAGATTTCTTGAACTAGAACGAACGAGACCCTATGTGAGGGTCCTGGGGGTAGATGGTGCCATCCTACTAACATTCTGGATTCCATCCTCCACTCCGAGGCTGCCAACCAGTGAAAGACACGGACCTCCCAGCCCAAAGTTGTCATCATGGTCTCAGGCTCGGACAAGGTCTCCCCCTTCTTCCCCACCTCCACATTCAGAGGTCCCCCCCTTCCTAG